ACACCATTTAATGTCCAAAAACATTTTTTTTAGCAAAATGTATATTTTACTCTTATACTTAAATATACTTGTATATTTTATTGCGCTCCTATTTGATTGCACTCTGTCTGTTTAGAGCGCAGCAGCGCTCGTTCACTCGCCCACTCCTGACAGCAAAATGGACATGTTTGCATGACTTTATAACATTTACAGATGAAAAATATACCTGTGACATGTCAGTTATGCACAGAGGAAAACACAACGTCTCAAATGAAAAGTGAAAGTGAAAGTGACGTGACATGTGGCCAAGCATGGTGACAGAAGAAGAGAGTAGTTGCTATTGCAGCTGCTATTCAAATCTGCGTTCGCGCTTTGGCTGGCACGGAGCCAGAGACAGAAGCTTTTGTACAGCGCTGCATTATAACCAATCACACACGAGTCTGTTGAGCTTATGAATGCAATGGGTAATCAGAGACGTTCAGATGAGTCATCGCTGAAACGCGGTGTTTTGTTCACTTACTCGCTGACTGTGCAGATGTGCGTTTGAATGTAAGTAAGATATTCATTTCACAGTGTAAACAGCTTCAGTGATTTAAAGACCATTCAAAAGCTTGGAGTCAGTATATATTTTTTTCCCTTGGGAAATGATATAAATTAATACTTTTATTTAGCAAGGATGCTTTAAATTGATCTCATTCAATAACTGCAATTGAGAAAAACACTTTCAAATCTCAAGAGCAATTTATTTCATCAGTCAAACGGTGCAAAGCTCTCAACTTTAAAAGTGATCAATTGAAGGGATTTAGGGCGTCTAAAAAAACAATTAATGGCTTTAGAAGAACAAAATGGACAGAGTTTAGCACAAAGCAAGTACATCCCACACAAGCATCTCAGCTGAAGAATCCAGATGGTGGAGCTTCTTGCCACATACAGTTGTTGCCTAATTTTCTTCGCTGTTCGCTTTCAAAGGTCAGATTAATTAGTAATTGAGGACACCAAATGCTCTCGAACAAACCTCCATCTGCTGGAGGAAGGATTCCATGTGCACGGATGACAAACCAGCATATGATAGTATTCATGAGATGGACGGTCACTCGCTAATCGCTGCTTTCAGTCATACATGAAGACCTCCTGTTGTTTGAGGAGAGCTTTTTTCATGCTGATGGTGATGGGAATCAATTATAAACATTTGAAGAATTCACATAAAAGTGATGAGATTTAGTTGCATTATGGTAATGACAGTTGTGTAAAATGTGCTTCATTTTCATAAAAAAATTAAAATCATAAAAGCCAGTACAACAATTATAACCATGATACTTTAAAATGTTTTATTTATTTATGTCTTTTTTTTCCACATAAAAGTGATGAGATTTTGTTGCCTTATGGCATTGACAGCTGTGTAAAATGTGCTTCATTGTCATAAAAAAATAATTTTAAAAATGATAAATTATAAAAGACAGTACAACAATTACTACCATGATGCTGTCACGGGTTGCTATGGTGCGGGAACACGGAGCGAGGAACGAGGAACGAGGGGACCAGGAGTACAAAACCAAGGAATTTATTTATATCGCGGGGAATAACACGTTGCACAAGGAGTTGACATAAACATGTGACAGATCGCCCCCCTCCCGGACGGTGCATCCCACACCGTAACAGTAACATCAGGGAGGGGGGGCGGGGGACGCGGCGGGCGG